GGTCTCTTTGGTAGGCATATGTGCTAAGTGTGGAATACCAAAAGTGGGGTCTGCCTCATTTGCACTGTCTGCTGTGGCTTGATAAAGCATCCAAGCTAAGACCTTAAGATTATGATAGATTCATCCAAGCCAAAATACTAGACCCAAATGAAGATCCAGAGCTGCATAAATTAGTATTGAAGCACATGATCCATGGTCCATATTGCACCTCAGCGTGTTGGCAAAACTGTACATGCAGGAAGAGCTACCCAAAGTAATTCATTAAGCAAGGTGTGGTGATGATTCATATCCTGTGTCCAGGAGACACTCTTTCGAAATGGGAAGATTTGAAGGATATCAAGTGGGACGACAAAGTTGAACTATAACTTCTGAATGGGTGGTCCCCTATAATGCCCAACTATTGAAGCTGTTCAATTGTCATCTCAATGTAGAAATATGCTCACCTGTCAAATCCATCAAATCTATCATCAAGTATACCATGAACAGGAGGGATCAGGCAATTTTTGCAGTGAGCAGAGAAAACGAAATTGCACAATACTTGACAGGCAGATATATCAGGCCCTCTGAAGCTGTTGCATTGATACTTGGATTTCCAATTCATGAGGGGGAACCAACTGTTTGTCTTCAAGTGCACCTTCCTCAACAGCCTCAAGTATTCTTTCGATATAATCCTGCTGCACAACTGAATGATATGGCAAGAACCACTTTAATGGAATTCATGGATCTGTGCATTCACAATCCTTTTGCAAGAACCCAGTACTACGAGGATATTCCACGATTCTACACTCGGACTAATAAGAGATGGGAAAGAAGGAAGATTGGGAAAAGAGTGGAGGAGTACTCTGGGATTTTTGAAGCCAATGTTCTGGGTCAAGAGTGTATTGTTTCTCCATGAATTAGTGACTCTACTACTTGAGGCTCCTTCTTCATCAAAAAAAGGGGCCAGTATCTTTCAAATAATTGAAGACACATGATGGACATATCTTTCCATAATTCAAAGACGTCTGCAGAGAGAGAGAGGATTGTTGCAAGCTGATGATCATTGGCAACAAACTATAGAAGATGCCAAGAGAATAAGAATCCCCAAAGCAATGAGAGATTTGTTTGTCAGCTGAAATCAACAATCCACAACAATTATGGAACCGGTTCAAGAATGTAATGTCTTTAGATTTCCTCCAAATTGAGAGAAGAACTATCAATGATCCTAATATCATGATAAATGAGAGACATCATGAAGAAGCTCTTCTGTATTTCCAAGACAAACTTGAGAACTTGGCCAAAACACTTGAAGAATATAACTTCCCAACACCAGGAAACAATACAATTAATCAAAATGTTGGCAATCCAGAATTACTGCATGAACTGCAATACCACAAAAGCAGCAGGAATTTGTACTACACAAGGAGCTCTATTGAATAATGAGAAAAGAGCAGTATATGACGATGTGTGTAACTGCTTGGAAAGCAATCTTTCTTCAATGATTTTCACTGATGTACCAGGTGGAAGGGGCAAGACATCTGTCACCAACTTGATTCTCTCTAAAGTTAGGGGAGATGGAGATGTTACTATTGCTGTAGCATCATCCGGTTATTGCAGCAACACTGATGCCTGGTGGTAGGACAGTGCATTCAAGATTCAAGATACCCCTCAAAGTAAATGAAAATGCCCTTTGTAACATCAATAAAAACTCTAATATTGCAAATTTGCTTAGAAATGAGAAGCTTATTGTCTAGGATGAGAGTCTCATGATTAGGAGAGAGAGCTTCGAAGCCGTGGACTGGACTCTTCATGATATATGTGACAAGAATGAGGCTTTGGGGGAATTTTAACCATTTGCTCTGGTGATTTCCATCAGCTTCTAACAGTTGTAAAAAGAGGAAATTATGCTGAAGTGGAGAATTCATGCATAAAAAAATCCTACTTATGGAGAAGCTTTGTAAAGTTTCAGTTGAAGAGAAACTAGTAATTAAGTGAGGGAGAAGGAAGATATTCTGAGTTCTTATTGGATGTTAGGGAAGATAAGATTCAGAAAAATGAAAATGATGACATTGAATTAACTGCAGATATGGTTCTGTCAGCCAGAACTATGGAAGAATGTATCGATTTCATCTACCCAACATTCAATAATCCTGCAGAACTGTTCTCAAAAAACTCTTGATCTTGGTTCCCCTCAATGAAATAATGAGAAAAATCAATTTCACATGCATTAGACGCTTCCCTGGAATCATGAAAGAATACTATTCCTTCAATGCCGTGAGTGAAGCAGCTAACACCATTCATTTTCCAACAGAATTCCTTGATTCAGTAGAACTCTCTGGAATGCCGCCATATAAACTGGAACTGAAGAGAGGATCTCCCGTCATTTTAATGAGGATTTTGGATCTTCCAAGGCTTTACAGTGGAGCGTGGATGATTGTAGAAGAGTTCCACGACAATTTAATCATACCAAAAATAAACATTGGTGCGTTCAAAAATGACATTGTCATGATTCCAAGAATTACGCTCAATTTATCAGAAGGTGAAAATGTCCCTCTTCAGCAGATCCAGTTCCCAATACAGTCATGCTTTGTTCTCACTATACATATAGCGCAAGGCCACAAACCATGGAGAATGTGATGATTCATATTTTTTTTTTGCTATGCATCTTTCTTCTTTAATAAACTGATGTTTTCTTCTTTAATTTTCAAACCAAAGCAACAGCAATACAATTCAGGAAAATTTAATCTTCATTCTGGTTACACCAGACCATGCTACCTTTCTCTCAAAGAACGACCCAATAGGTTATAGGTTGTCTAGTTTGTAATAAAGCATTCAGTGGAAGTTGGAAATTCATTACAAATGCAATCCTTGTGTAGGACTGGGGAGCAATGCAACAGCCAACTTTTACGATATACAAACAAATAAAGAAATGGAAGCCAAAGAGAGGTTGCATATTTCAGCCAGACAATGATCTGAAACACACCTCCTCCAAAACAGCCATGCAGGAAAGACAGAGATAGG